GAGCAAACACGAATCTATCATTGTGAGATGACAATGGAGGTTAAGTTTTGATATTGTTGATCACTAGTGGCAATCTCGGAGACAAAAATCAAGTTTTTTTTGGTAAGGTTGGGTAATTCCCAGTGGTATTCTCGACTTTAAGGTACACAATTAATCTCAACTCTTGACATTTGTGTTGGTCGACATGATTTATCAATGCATTGAATTTCTTAGCACTCTTTCTTGGAGATATGTGTACCATTCAGAAATATTGTGGAGAAATGTTGTTGGAATCATGGCTTACATGGATATGTTTCGAAACCTTGAACAAAAATCCGGCATGACGAAGGCCTTCGGGCTGGCCAATCTCGAGTCTCCACAATATGTGAATTTGGTATTAGGATGAAATCATTTGAATTTTACTTTCTACATTCGTTTGATGATTGTAGATATCTGCGGAGTATGCTTTGTCGAATTATTTATTGAGTCTAGGTTTTGTAAAATTCTGATCTATCGTACATTTGAGTGGATATTTATGTCCTTTATTTATCGAGATAAAGATCTTAATTGTGGATTGTGGTGTGATTTAGTAATGCGTGGATCGACTTGATTGTTTTGATGCATCTATTGCTATTATTGCTATCGGAATTGCAAATTGGATGATATGAATAAACTGCGACTCATGAACTTTGCTTGATATTTGCTGAGGAAAACACATGAACAGGTGAACTGATATTTAGATATTGCATGGACTGCTTTCTTGAAATAAGGAATAGATAGCAGGGAATAATCGAGCTAAAGTCATCATGTATACAAGAAATGGAGGTTAAAAATGTGTTTGATGATTTCTTGATACGCTGAATATTTTTTGCGATTATCTTGCTCGTGTACCTATATTTTTGGTGATGCTAATGAAGATGACAGATTGTTATCATATTTTGTTGTGCTCGATGTGTTTTTCCTCGACCACGATGGAAGGTCGATCTAAACAACTACGAAGTTGTATGCCTCGAGTGGAATCTCGACAAAGGCTACGAAGCCTGCGACTACGAAGTCGATCTAAACAACTACGAAGTTGTATGCCTCGAGTGAAATCTCGGCAAAGGCTACGAAGCCTGCGACTACGAAGTCGCTCTAAACAACTACGAAGTTGTATGCCTCGAGTGGAATCTCGGCAAAGGCTACGAAGCCTGCGACTATGAAGTCGATCTAAACAACTACGAAGTTGTATGCCTCGAGTGGAATCTCGGCAAAGGCTACGAAGCC